CACGTTGGCCAGGCTTGTCTCAAACTCCTGATTTCAGGTGATCCATCCGCCTTGGTCTCCCAAAGTGCTGGGATTATAGGCATGAGCCACCATGCCTGGCCCAAATTCTTAATTTGTTATAATTTGGACCAAAGTTGGATTTCCAGTTACCTTGAAAGCTTACTCATACATAGAGAAAAATAATTTGTTAGGCAAATCTAGATGAGCTGCAAGATTCTTAGCGATGTGTTCACCTATCAAGAGATAGCTAATTTTAAGAATGTTAAAACACCTTCTTATATATATTGAAATTCTAATCTCGGTTTTAAACTCTTTAATATATCTATTTATGATAGTGACAATTCACCCTACTAGGTAACATGAACGAATGACCAGAGCTGGTGTACAGAATAGAAACATTTAGAAGAGATTACTAGTAAAGAACATTTACTCATCTGTGTCATGAATATTCTGGGTCCCAATAAAAGTCCTGTAAACCATTTACGTGGTTTCCTGGAAGCCATGTTCATTTTACACGGCTTGGTTCATTGTTTATTGCTGACTGGACCAGAATGGGTACTTGGCCCAAGCTACACTAATCACATTCTCTCTCGAAAAAGGAAGTTGAGACGTAGTCTGTCAGCCTCTACATGTATGTTGAATTGTGATATGTACACTTAAGAGCTGTCAAATGGCCATATGTGGACCATGGAGCAGAGAAAGCTGGTCTTTAGACGAATGGAGCAGAGGAAGCAAGCAGAGATGGAGTGAAGAGACTGCCTGGCTGCCTCTTGCCTTGCTAGTTCCAGTTTCAGGCCCCTCCTGAGGCCTGGCGGCCTTTGAGTTCTAGAATACAGCCCCGTATCTTATTCAACAACCATCCGCCAACCCGCCTTTCTTACTCTTTCTCCTTATCTCTTTCTGTCTTTTAATACTAGCTAAGCTGTTTTGTAGTGTGTAACCAAAGAGTCTTAACTCAGACACCATGCAATAGTTAACACACCCTCCATAGGACAGCCCACAGTACAGGTCAGATGCATTTGGATAATGAAGTGCATCACAGTAACTAAGACTCTGTAGGTAGACTTAAGATATGTGGACTTTTCAATAATTTCCTAGTGTATGATAAAAACTGATAAGGTAATACTGATTTATATGGATAAACTAGCTTATATACTTGTTTATCAGAAAGTTATAGAATAATAAAACATGTATTTCAAAACTCAAATTCAGATCTGCTTGTTCCCAATGAACCAAAAATAATGAGGTTTTTCCATAGTGACAAATGACTCATATACCAATGACATTTTTGAAATAAAATAATTTTGAGATTATAAACTTTTAAAGTTATGAAAAAAGAGACTGGTCATTTGAACTTTTATAAACTATCTTGATAAATTTAAGGGCACCAGATGATATAAAAAAGATTTATGCCTAAAATGTACCAAACATCAGACACCTATTAAAAAAAAATAGTTATGCAAATAAAGTAATGAATAAATTAACACTTAGTAAGAACTTGCTATGTGCCAAGAACTGTTCTAAGAATTTTTCATTTGAATCTCCCCAAAATTCTATGAAATAATTCTTATGCCTGAATTACATGGAGTCAAATGACTTATCCAAAATTTCACAGCTAGTAAAAGGTAGATATTTAAACCTAGGTAGACTGTTACCACTATTCTAAAGTCCAAAGAAGACAAGTAGACGAACTAGGATTGAAAGAACATAAGTTTAGAAGCCAGAAGTTTTGGAAAACAATTTCAGAAAACCAAGAAAAATCTACAATCTTCTAAGTTAAAACAAAACAAAAAAAAAACATGTAGATTATTAATGATTCTTACCGGGGGTTAGAAGGAGAAGGTGGGTTCATTTCTTTCTGATAGTGGTGACCCTGGTTGACAGGCTGTAAAAGACAAAACATTTGTGAATGTTTAATCAGCACAAACCTATTTACATGTAAATTCACACGCACTCTCATTACTGTAACTGTTTCCTTGGACACAACCCACAAGAAGGGTATGGGTTTATTTTACAGATCCAGCAAATTGCAGAGTGGTATAAATGAGAAATCACATTTATCATTATTATTATTTTAGTGGCCCAGTCATTGGACCTCAAAGCATCTATGATGTAATTAAAGTTCATTTATTGAGATTTTCCTCTTTGTGGAATTTTTATGCTGTTAACATTGGTTGATATTTTCAGACACAGGAAAACAAAACCAAAGAAGATATCTCATGGAACTAATGCTGCAGTTCAAGCATCATTAATAACAGAAACCCAGACACACAGAAAACATATTTAGTCTCAATGTTAGTAAGTTTGTAAAGATAATTTCTATTACCACTAATGAGAATTACACATGTAAATCTTAGGTCAAGGTGGTCATTTTCGCCAAGTGTATAACACAACCTCAAGTACTGATCAACAAGCTGAAAAAAATGATGCCAATACCTAACAAAAATGTGAAATCTCAAATATTCCCTCCACAAGAAACCTTTCAGTTACATTTCAAAACATAGCTGAACAACTATATCTCATGTAGCCTTAAACACTTGCTTCCAACGAGACTTGATCTTTTTCCTTTGTTCTATAAAGGGAGAAAATTCTGTCTTCTGTTTGAACATCAGCTCTAAGTATTTATGTGGTTAGCAACAACGTTTCTAATAAGAAATCATTTTCAACGTTCTCATTTTATTACAATTTAGTTTAGTAAACATGTTTAAACTGCATTCAAAGAGCTTTAGCTACTTCCATACCCAGTGGAGTTTTCTCACCCATCATAATGTGGCCCCTGACTGAGGAAAACAACGTAGCCATGGTGCCTGTATATACAGAGCTCATACTCCTTAGTTTCTAGATATTTCTCATTACAGTAAGTCTCAAAATATTAATGACGTAGGTGATGGAAATTCTTCAGAGTAAACTGTCTTCCTCTATAAATTATCTCTTGGAAGTGTTCCTTTAATTTAAATCAAACACCCCATCTGATAATCACAGTCACTTAGCCTGACTACCTGTTATGCACCATGAATTTAAATGTACTCAGATACTTTGGTAATTGAACCAATATCAATGCATCACCATTTCAGTAATAAGAAACAACAGCTGGGAGAATAGTGGAAGGAAAAACATGTCATAAGACATATTTGATCTCACTAGAGAAATAAGACTTTCAGCGATTTGCAAGTGAAATTTGGTTCTATGATTTAGGCTTTATTATTTCACAGCAAAAAAGAAATTAGCAAGCAAAGGGCCTAACAGGTTCTCTGGACGAACTCACACTGGTATAGAAATACTCCCAATAACAAATTCATTGGTATTCGTCCAGTATTTCAGCTGTACTCAGGCCTCCAGTGAATGGACCTCTGCCTATTTATTTTCAGAGGCATTTCCATAACTCTCTAAGCATCACAGTCCTGATATTCAGGTGAATTTCCATTTCTTAATTTTATACTATTAATTCTATTTATACCCATCCCCAAACCTCTATTCCAAATGACTTACTCCATCCCTTGGAAAATAGAAGTGGTTACAGAATCCTATCTTGTTTGTGACTCAGCCCCTCCTCGCTTTGGACTATACAGACTGATCCCTTTCCATCTTTGCTCATAGTGATTTTTAAGTGTTAGAAAAACAAAAAAGTAACCAATGGAAACTTTTCAAATAAAAACTGCTGACATGAACAGATAGAAAGGTGAACAACTAGCTGTCTGAAGCCAGACATCCTCACCTACAAATGGATATTAATGGAGTTCAGGACATGGCATTCGCAGTAGCAGGAAGGTCACTCTCACCTTCCCCTGTTCTCCCCTGCAGCTGGTCATAAAACATAGGTAGGATTTTCTGACCACCTCCTGGAGCAGGTCATAAGATGCTCATTTGAGAGATGCCCTCCCTATCCCCTGAAGAAAGGAACATCCTTATCTCTGAAGACACAACGACACAGAGAAGAATCTGAACAAAGGTTTTGCTGATTTTCTTCGTTTATTTCCATTAGCTCATATCTCCTTTGCCCAATCACATTTCTCCACCACTTTCCCCTCTTCATCAAACCTAGAGTAAAAATATTCAAGTTTCACTGTTTGTTCAGGTCTTCATTTCCTTATAAAGACTCTTGTATCATGGAAAACTTACATGAAATAAATTTGTATGTTTTTCTTTTGCTAATCTGTCTTTTGTTACAACAGAGGCCTTGGCGATGAATCCAGGATGGATGAGAAAAAGATATTTTCCTCCCCTACAATATGTTTATATACATATGTAGCAGTAAATCTATTTCTAGGTAGGTAGCATGCTGTGAAAGTACCAATGAAATAATACAGAATTTGTTTCGATTTTGGCATTCAGCCATACCCAGAGAATATCGTAAGTAGATGCAAAGGGATGGCAACCAGTATCTACAATGAACTATGACTATCATCATAATGGCAGTGACTGATAGTTATTGAGTATTTATGTTAATTCTTGGTAGATATGATCTCATTTGATCCTTAGAGCAATTCTGTGAAATAAATAGGATGAACAACTCCATTTAACAGAAGAGGAAATTGACACTGGGTATTAACCCAGGATCATGCCTGCCGGGAAGAGTGGAGCTAGAATGTGAACCCAGGCAGTCTGAGTCCACAGCTTACCTTCCTAACCACTTGTCTGTAGTGTTTATTCCAGCTCGAGAGTGCATCTAGAGTGGTGACTATTTAAGTTTTTGAATAACAAATATGACAAAATCAGTTCTGTTTGTGGCAGGAAAAGTGACCCTGAAGAAATACATTTATTTGAAATATATACGACTCTCCTTACCACAAATTAAATTCATTGGTTTTATTCTCAAGATATATCATTATGTATTTAAAATTTAAAAAATGAATTTTGCCACGTTACTAAATTTGGGACAATCATAAAATATAATAGACAGTACTCTGAGAATAAGAAAAGTTTATTTCCTGGGGTGACTTTCATAGTCACTAAACAGAACAACTTGCACATTTCAATATTTCCTCCTGACAGTACAGATATTACACTGACTCTAATATCAGTTTTTGTATATCATTTCTATAGCTGTATAAGAACATCTGCTCATTTGATTTATCTGCAGCTTAGCACAATCAACTACATACCTTTTCAGTTCAGAAGGATAAAAGAAAACTCATTCTACCCAAAGAGAGCTGAGAAGTTAATGAATCTGTAGATTAGAACAAATTAAAACCTATTAACTATAAACAGCCTAAATGCCAATATATTATATTTTGAATACACAGCAACCAGGAATATCATGCAAAAACGCTGATATGCTGTCGAACAAAGAAATAGAACAGATCCCAGAAACTCAGGACCTCGGCCTTTTGGTGGCGCTGTTGCTATGTGCTAGTGCCAGGCAAACAGTATTCATATAAAATTAACTACCATGGAGCACAAGAAGCTTTGCTTTTCCATGATCAAGCTGCTAGAGATTTTGGGGTGAGGGAGCGAAATGAAGGCGAAATAAAAGAACAGGAGATAAGATAATCCTGCCATGTTAAAAGGTAAAGACAATATTTTTATGTTGTTATGTGAAACCTATGAAAATGGCAATAATGTTGTTGCAAGGTTAATCAAGACCATAAATAATTTGTCTGAGAACCTCACCATATGCTGGCAATTTTATTAAGTGTATTTTGCCTCGTTATTCTCCAAATATTATGCTCTGCAACATGCCATGTTGATGGATGCATGCAATGAGTTTTTCTTTTCTTTTTTTCTTTTTTTTTTTTTTTGTAAGCTAGAGACTTATGTGCTTGATATTAGCTTACGGGAATTCTTTTTTTTTTTTTTTCAAGAGATGGGGTCTCATTATGTCACCCACACGGGCCCTAAATTCCTGGGCTAAAATCCTCCTTAGCCTCCCAATTAGCTGGGAATACAGACCTGTGCCACCACGCCCGGGTCAGGTTATGTTAATTATTAACTTGAAGGAATGACATTCTGCTCACAGGGAAGCTGCACAATAAACCTACTTTTCTTGAATCTACATCTGAGGAGGGACAGTGAAATGAAATATTGAAATAATAAAATAATAAAGGAGTTTATTTTTAAGGCTCTGAGGGAGTCAGTCTGTATGCCAACAGTTAAACTCACATCAAAACAAGCACTACAGAATCTCTGCTTACTCCTTCAGGTCTCAGTCATCATAAAAAGGGAAAATGTCCTAGAAATTCTGTTTTGATCACTTAAGTGGCCCTTTGAGGAGAATAACCTCAGCGGAACAGCAGTTGACAGTCAGTGTGAGCTTACTCTGCTAAGCACTGGGCACATGCATTTCATGTACTCATTCGATTTGCATAATGCCAACATTAGGAAGGTTATTTTATCATTCCCATTTCAAAGATGATCATGTCCAGAAATGGCAGAGCTGGGATTTGAGCCCAGGTTGACCGATCTAGAGTTTATATTTGTTTGGGCATCACATGAAGCAGTGCCCATTGATAGCTATTCTTATTCCTTAAAAAAAGAAACACACACACACACACACACACACGACATGGCTTTATGCTATTGTCAATCAAAATCCTTCACCAAGATAAAATTCACTTAAAATTCATTATAACTAACTCCTATCGCCCTTCCGAAGGCTGCCGAGAGCCCAGTTTGTGAATAAATCTCACGAGGGCTACTCCTAACAGAAACTCTTCAAAATTGATTACTTGTAGCCTGGTTTCCACAGAAGTTGTAAAGTATTGTTTTAATTGAATTTGGTTCTAAGTTAGAAACTTTGAAAAATTTATGTGTCAAAGGCCAATGGATTTCTCAGTAGGCTTGATTTATTTAGCAAGAGATGCCTACAAAAGCCAATTTGCTATGAGGAATATGGTTACATTTAATTACACTTTTAAATGACTAATTTATTATATCTAAACACCTTTTAAACAGTACATATTACTCTGAACTGTACAGATGCTGAGGAATCAAAGTTTGTGGTAAACACAATGGATTTTGCTAAAGACTCTTCATTTTACTCTGCATAGGCTTTCTGGCTTCAGACTGCAATGTGTGTGAAGTCGTCAGGTAAAAATGCTAAACTGAATGGGACCTGACTACATCTCTTTTTCTTCCTATTGGCAATCAGGTCCTGCTCAGAAGGAGATTTTCCTTTGGGTGTATATTTAATATCCATTTATCAAATCTTGAATTGAAAATATTACATGCATCACTCAGGATTTATTTAAGCAAAGCAAAGCTGATGTTTATTTTGGAATCTTGATGAAAATTACCTTATTTTAGAGTAAAAAATGAATTTTTAAAAATTATGCTTTAAGTTTTGGGATACATGTGCAGAATGTGCGGGTTTGTTACATAGGTACACACGTGCCATGGTCGTTTGCTGCACTCATCAACCCATCATCTACATTAGGTATGTCTCCTAATGCTATCTATCCCTCCCCTAGCCCCCAACACTCCAATGGGCCCCGCTGTGTGATGTTCCCCTCCCTGTGTCCATGGATTCTCATTCTTCAACTCTTACTTATGAGTGAGAACATTCAGTGTTTGGTTTTCTGTTCCTGTGTTAGTTTGCTGAGAATGATCGTTTCCGGCTTCATCCATGTCCCTGCAAAGGACCTGAACTCATATGTAAAAAAGGAATTTTTCAAAACATTATGGATTGATTCATTCAAGTAATGACTGACAACTGGCTGTGATGCCTTGTGCTAGCATTTGTGCTCCAACATAGAAGGTATGAAAGAACACAGGCAGGGTTCTCTCTTCAAGGAATTCACAAGCAGTCTTGGGGATATTGGTAACATTGGTTAGCTGATGTCATAAGTGCTGTAATTGAGCGTGAAGGTAACAGGGACCCAGAGAGGGAAGCGAATAATTCTGTTCGGGGTGGGATGAGGGTTTAGGAGCGTTTCGGGAAGCAGCGACAAGTGAGTTGGGCCTTCAGAAATAAGCAAAAGGAGGGATAAACAGTCAGAGTACAGAGGATTTTAAGGGCAGTGAAACTACTCTGTATGATACTATAATGGCAGATACATGTCACTATACCTTTGTCCAAATCCATAAAATGCACAACACCAGGAGTGAACGCTAATGTGAACTACGGAGTTTGGGGATAATGATGTGTCAATGGAGGTTCATTAATTGTAACAAATTACCATTCTGGTGGGGGACACTGATAATAGGGTTCCTCTCAATTTTTTAGTGAACCCAAAACGGCTCAAAAAAACTACAAGTCTTTAATAAAAAATTAGCCAAAAACCAAAAAACCAAAACAGAAATTAAAAAGCCATTTTCTAAGTAGAGAGGGAGCTGCCAGACAGAGAAGAGATGAGCAAGGCGTGAGCTGAACACAGGGCACGGCTCACCAAGTGACAGCCAAGTCGACAGTGTGGCAGGAGCAGAGTGGCTCCCCTCTGTGTATGTTGGGTGGGGGGTGGGTAGTGAGACAAGCAAAACTCATTTCAAGTGCTATGCAAGCTGACAGAGAAACAAAGGCACTAACAGGAGGTTATCTTGCTTAAGGAGAGACTCCCCACTGTCCCCGCCACCACAGACTTAATTTGGCTTCCTTTTGGAACTTGGAATTCCATTCCCCTCTTGTCTACATGGTGAACTTGAACTCATTCTTGAACTTCAGCTTAACTGTTGTCTTCTCTGTAAAAGCATCCCTGAAACCCACAGGTGGAATCGCCCCCTCTCATGTGTTCCCATAACTCATTATTCTATCACTTGCCATCCTGAGTTACAGTCAGCCATTCACCTGGGCTTCCCCTCCAAAACTGTGCACACCTCAAGCTTGGATAAGGCTTTATCTGTATCCTCAGAAGCCAGCCTAGTTGACAGTACATTGTACCACTCAAAAACATATGTGTGGAATGAGTGAATGTGAGACAGACAAGCAAGCTTGTGGTGAGAGTTTTCAGGGAGATACTCCTGACTCTTGTGGCAGAGAAGGTGTATCCTTCACAATGAGGCCTGGAGAAGGGCTACAGTGACTTTGGAGCTAGTCTGAGATCAGGTCCAAGTAAGGATAAGTGCAAAGTCATTAGAGAATTACAATGGACTATAGAATGAGGAAAGTGGGGCAGTGAGAGATGAGGCTGGAGACAGGGCAAGTCTCAGATCATGGGGGCTCCTGTATGTCAAAGTAAAGAGGTGATGGGGAGTCACTGAAAGGCTTTACATAATAAAGAGATCAGATCATATCAGATCTGGGTTTTAGGAAGATCACTAATGTGAACAATAATGATAATAATAATGACAGCTAAACTTCATTTATTAAGTACTTATGTCTCAGATACAGTGCCAAGCATTTTATAAGGGTCACAGCTTGGATTTGAACCGTGGCAATTTGATGTCAGAGCTGATGCTCCTAACCACCAGGTTACAGTGCCTTGACTGGAGGCACAGAGATGTTAGGGGACTATTGAAGGAATTCAGATGAAAAATAAAGTGCATAAACCATAAAAAAGAGGAAAATCATGTCCTTTGCAGCAACATGGATGCAGCTGGAGGCCATTATCCTAAGCAAATTAATGCAGGAACAGAAAACCAAACACTGCATGTTCTCACTTATAAGCAGGAGCTAAACATCAGGTACTCATGGAAATAAAGATGTCAACAATAGAAACTGGGAACTGCTAAAGGAGAGAGGGAGGAAGAAGGCAAGGATTGAAAAAGTAACTATTGGTTACTATGCTCAGTACCTGCATGACTGAAGCATTTGTACCCCAATCTTCAGTATCATGCAATGTAGCCTGGTGACAAATGTGCACATGTACCTCCTGATTCTAAAATAAATATTGAAAAAAAATAAAGTGCATAATCTGTCATGGGATTAAGGGGAAAAAAGAAAAACGGAAAGTGCCAAGGCTGTGGTATTAGGAAGGGTGGGGTAAGAGATAAAAAGGAGAGAGGATTCTTAGGATTTGGAGACCAGCCAAATGTGGGATAAAGAAGTGGGAGAAATGAAGATGTCTTCCAAATTTCTGGTTAAAGGATCAATATGGATGTTGACATTATTCACTGAGATAAAAGAAGAGTGGGATAGGCCGGGCACGGTGGCTTACCTGTAATCCCAGCACTTTGGGAGGCCAAGGCGGGTGGATCATTTGAGGTCAGGAGTTTGAGACCAGCCTGGTAAAACCCCATCTCTACTAAAAATACAAAAAATTAGCTGGGCCTGGTGGTGGGCGCCTGTAATCCCAGTTACTCAGGAGGCAGAGGTTGCAGTGGGCCAAGATTGAGCCACTGCCCTGCAGTCTGGGCAATAGGGCAAGACTCAGTCTCAAAAAAAAAAAAAAAAAAAAAAAAAAGGGGGTATTATTGTGATGAATAAAGTTATGAATTTTTTTATTTCTTCTTTTTCACTGTCCCTGTGCAACTTTTAAAGAGAAAAGCATGAGCTGTCAAAAAGACCACAATGATGCTTGTAAAATTGCTCTATCTAAACTCTATACAAGCAGCGAGTTACAGAGTTCATTAAGGAATACAATTTTCCATTTGGCGGTAGTTCCAATGTTAGATAGACTGACTCTGATGCAATAATAAACATATCTCATGAGTACCAAAGGTAGACTTTTCAATATTTTCTCTGTCTAAAAAAATCAAACCATTTTAATTTCTCATTTGGTCAAATAGAGGGGTTATTAAGTTCATTACCAAAGGTCTTATTTTTGGCTGTATACTTTTAGAGTGGAATAGATGTCATGCAGGAGATTTCAGTCCTTCAGAACAGGAGAGTGATGAGAACATTGTATCCAGGGCAACTAAGAGTTCAGCCTTTTCAGTCCATAAATAATCATTCCTCAGGTTGCCCTTTGTAATGTTGGTCTCCAAGCTACTTCATGACAGAATGAGCTCGATCAGGAGGCCACTGTTCTCTTTCTTACTTGCAGTTTAAATGACTGCTGCGGAATATTTTATAAGAAAGGCAATGTTTCAATTCTATTGCAAATTGTACTGGTAAAAATCTGCAACTGACTCTTATGATCTTAGCTTGGCTACAAGGATACTCTAACCAGAGTAACCAGAAGTCAGATATTTTTCTGGGTGGGTGGATACTTTTTGGCACCAAGGCTGCCAGAGGTGTTATGTATGCTTGACAGTTGTGTTTAATGAAAGCACAACTGAGGCGAGAGAAACCTGAAGGTATGCAAGGTAGGGATAAAGAGCACTAATCCCCCCATCAAACCAAATGGAATTTCTTCTCCATGAAGACTTGTGTAAGTTCTCCCCAGAGCACAGAAATCTCACCTTCCATGGGATATCCACATATGCACTGGATAACACTCATTTGACAACTGAGTCACCACATCATGGTGGTCAGGAGCCCAGACTTAGGAGTCAGACCAGGTTAGGTCTGATTCACTTTACTCAAGAGCCTCCATTACTCAAGAGCTCTGCAACAGTGCTTACCACACAGAGTAGCCATAAGGAGTAAACTAGATAACATGTAAGGCATTAGGTGCCAGGGCCTCTGAGATTTCCAAGATCTACAAAGATGTTGGAGACCTGGAAAAAACTGGCTTTAAAATACGAAAAGCAAATCACAAAATTCATATGTATTTAATTAAATACTTAAAACCTAACTTATCCACTGTCAACTATGCTTCAACTCAATTTTTATATAGTTATATATAAATGAGTAAAAGTTATTTTATGTTTTCTTTAAACATTTTTATAGCAAAAACATATTTACTTTTGTATGAAAGTATATTTTAGTCGGTTTGCTATGATATTGAATGTAGCCTTATAAGTAAATGTTTCTTAGGCCTGCGGAGGTCTCAAAATGGCTCTAGGTACTTAAAGAAATGGTAGCTCTAATTATCATTATTATACCAATGATTTTATTATTCTGCTTTATGACATTTCTTGTGCCGTACTGAACTGTTCCACTGATGTTTATGCTCTGTCTTTCCAATTAAGTTGTAAGGTCCCTGAGAACAGTATTGTAGAGAACGGACTGAGTTAAAAAACTGGGCTCTGCTCTGGGCTCTGCCACTGACCAGGTGTGGAAGCTTGGACCCACGCTTCAGTTTCTTCACCTGAAAAACAGGAAGACTAAGACCTATTCCAACCTCTGCTGGGCCATAGTGAGGGCAATGGGCCATACTGAAGTGCTTTAACTATGGAAACACATGGGAATATAAGCTTCTGAAGCATCCACAGTGCCTATCATAGCCCATCATCCACAGGGAAGAGTCAGTGAACATCTGGTGACTTCTACAGAAGATTCTTTTCTGTCTTCATATCCAAGCAGTACTTGTATAACTACAGTCTTTTCCTCTGTGTTCATTCATTTCATACATATATATTTAACAAATATTGAGCCTCTTGTATGTGCCACAGGGCTTGTACTAGGAACAGGGGATACAATGGGACACCCAGTGTCTACAGTAAAATTGTTCTTTTTGTTCTTTCAATGTGTGGTTTGATATATCATCATACAAAGCTTTTCTGAAGGTAAATAAAACAATTTAAGAAAAGACTGTCATCTTCTAACTTCCGTCCCCCATTCTAAAACACTATTTCAGAATGGACTCTGATTATTTCTCATAGGGAGTGTTCTCATTTTGGTCCTGGCTTTTCCAGGCAAAGCTGGGATTTGTTAGAAAAAAGCTTGCTCCTTGTTAAGCAATGAAGCTTGCTCCTTCTTAACCAATGAGAGGAAGCTGCAAAGCCAGGGACTCACGGGTGGCAGGCAGGAGTTCCAGGTGGTTGTGTCGTCACTGCTGGTACTTATGCTGACATTACAGTTGTCCACCTGGGAGGCACTCAGGCCATGGGAAGTCCCAGCATCCTCCAGTTCTTCATTTTGTTGCCGCCGTAGGCTCGCCAGCATCTGTAACTCGGATTCACTCATCTGGCTCGGCTGATAGTTTCGCCAGTCATATTCCTGACCAAGAAAGAGGAAAATAACAAAGGGTCATTTGGCCTTTGCTAATTCTATGGCTATTAACAATGCCACAGCCTTAACCCCTGCAGCAGCTCCCCAATTGACAGAGGCACAAATCCCTAACATGCCTCCATGCGCTACCTGCCCCATCCATTATACCGCCTCCTGTCTGCTTGCTCCTCACAAGCCAGCCACTCTGTCCTTCATTAAGGTCCTCAAAAGCATCAGAGTCCTGTCTGCCTTAGTCCTGTGCACATGCAAGTCCCCTCTGCCTCGTGTTCTGGGTAATGCTTAGGCTCCCTTCAGGTCCTCAATTATGTATCACTTTCACAGGGAAGCCTTTCCTGACAACCATAAACTGGGTCAGCTCCTTTATGATGCCCTCTCAGAATCTTAAAATTTTCACTTTTAGCATTAATCACAGTTGCAGTGATGGAATTGTTTCCGGAGTTGGCAGGTTTGCTATGAGCTCTACAAGGGCAAGCACCATGACTGTTTTGCTCTCACTGCCTTTCCTAGGTCTGGTGCCTAGTAGGTACCCAACCAGTTTTTGTAGATTAAGTAAATAAACAAAAACTAAAAGTAGTTTTTTTAAAAACATTTGCCATTTTAAAAAGCACAGTTTATGAGTGAATTGATGAATTTCATCATTGTAAACATAAATGACCAAATTTATTCAACTTGCAGTACGATTGAGAATGACTAGTATTGGTAAAAGCCATCAAATAAAATTTGAATGTAAGATGGGAACCTGTAAGGTCTGAAAGCCTGGAAGATCTCATAGCTCCAACCAAGGTGGATTCACTGTATATGTCATCTATCAGGTACTTTTTGAAACATACTACTACTATAGATCTTTAGATGGTAGTATAAATATTATTTCACAGTATAGGTGGAAATTGGCATATAGAATTTTCCCTTTCTTTCTGGCATAAACTAGATTTGACAACAAACATTAATTTCAACATTACTAAAATATTAGCATCACATACGAGCAGTGTGATTTACATCCAGAACTGCCATATAACTTAAAAGCAATTTGAACATTTTCTTATACATCTGGAAACACTGGTTGTACTAACAAGGATTTTTTTTTCCAAGACACCCTAGAATTTTTAAGATATTTATATCTCTACATACACTTTCTTGGAGGACTCTCTGGCTTCTTTTCTGCCTCATAGGAATGTAAAAAGTTAAAAAATATATAATTTTGAAAAAAATTCTTGGAGTTCCTATGACATTAAATGCTTTATAATAAAGCATTATTATCATCATAATTTGGGGTTTATAAAAGCTTGTTATCTGATAATGTGATGTGGAGACTTCCTAAAAAGTTGCCACTGGAAACTCAGTTAAATCCTTATAGTTCATGGCACAAGCAGCTTGGCACTGTGAGGAGCCATGCAATCTTTAATAGACATTTCATGAGCACTCAATATGCTTTCAGAGTTCTTGGGGGCAACATAGGTATCATAAAAAGAAGAATAAAATTTATATCCCAATGAAAAATGCAAAAGTGAATAAGGAAACAAATAATTTAAATTCAAAAGAAGTAGTTGAGGGGACAATAAACACATACAAAGATGTTCAGCATCCTTGTTATTAGAGAAATACAAATCAAAACCACAATGAGATACCATTATACCCATTAGGATGGTTACAATAAAAAAGAGACAATAACAAGTGTTGGCAAGGATGTGGAGAAACTGAAACCCTCATACAGTATTGGCAGAAAAGTAAAATGGTGCAGCCACTTTGGAAAACAGTTTTGGCAGTTCCTCAAAATGTTAAACAGGTGAGTTACCATGTGACCCAGCAATTCACTTCTAACCTTATACCAAGAAAACTGAAAACATATGTTCACACAAAACTTACACACAAATGTTCACAGAAACATTATCCATAATAGCCAAAAAGTGAAAACAACCAAATATCTATCAACTGAGGAATGGATTTTTGTTTATTCACATAATGGAATATTATTCAGCCTAAAGAGTAATGAAGGGCTGGATGAACTTTGAAAATATTATGCTATTTGAAAGAAGCCAGGCACAAAAGACCACATATTGTGTGATTTACTTTATATGAAATGTCCAGAATAGGCAAATTCACAGAGACAGAAAGTAGATTAGAGGATGGCTGGGCTGAAGGAAAGGGAAACGGGAAGTGACTGCTAGTGGGTATATGCTTTCTTTTTGGAGTGATGAAAATGTTCTGAAATTAGGTCAAAATGATGGTTACAGAATCTTGTGAATATACTAAGAACTCCTGAATTTCTTACTTTAAAAGAGTGAATTTTATTGCATACAAATTATATTTCAATTAAAAAAAGCAGCTTGGTAATCAGATGTGAACATGAGAATACCAGCTGCTTGATTTTAGCTGCAGCAGTGAACAAGTAACTTGCTGTTCTTCAGTTTTTTGGTCAAGAAGTGGGATTAAGCGTTCTAATGTGTCACACGGGTATGTTAGTTGGCTCATCATTGCCAATACATACTTTTACAATGAAAAAGACATTTTATTTTAATTTTCACAATTTTTCTTAAGAAGAAAGCCTTAATATGTACTTCATATGATTAAATCTTTCGTTTGATTTACTTATTTAATCCACAAGGCTGTACTGTGCCTGAAGAACAACCCTGGGTTCTAGGAGAGAAGAATAAGAGGGGATGTGGCAGTGATTAAGCCAGACAAATCTAAGCCTGGGCCCTAGTTCCACCAATTGCCAGCTATAAATGACTAGGAAAATTACCTAACCTCTCTATGCATCAAATTCTTCATCATGGGGACCACAGTACATACCTCACAGGATTTTTGGTGAACTAAATGAAATAATATTACATCGAATGCTTAGTAGAGGCACCTGACAAACAAATATACTAGGGAGTCTCCAAATGTATTATTTGTGTATTATTTGTACTTTTAATGGAAAATGTTTGAATGTGTACTTTGTAATATATGTTTATTTATGAATTAAATATATGTATGACTATTTTAAAATCATATGTAGAGTACAAAACATACACAAAAATGGAATTAAAATGCTTAGGATTAAAAAGACAAAATTATTTTCAATTTTTCTTCCTGAATCTGAATGGGTTGTCTTTGGTACACACTTTTAGGGATGAGCACAGCCCTCTTAAGAGACCACTGAGTTGGCAGTCAATACATACAGTCCCTGTTATTATTATTTTTTCTGCTCATTTTCTCTGTCCCCCTTCTTCCAGTCTTTCATTCATTCTGTAATATGCTAGGAACTGGGAGCATAAAGAAAACAAGACATACTTCTGTCCTCATAGAGTTCACAGTCTACAAAGGGAGACTTGAGAGGTATTATATAACTGGAATTCTAATGTACTGTGAGAAATACAACAACAGAGGTATGAGTAAGATGTCTGCGGAATGCAGCACAGATGTGACTAACCGCCCAGTGGAATTATAGAAAATCTCACAGAAGTCTAAGGTGGCATTTGAGAGTAATTAAATTTGTTAACAAATGGAGTTAGTGGCCTTCAGAAGGACTCCCACCACTGGCAGGCAGTATTGAAGCTGAGGCTGAAGGAATAGGTAGCTGGGATATTCCCTATATTCCACTGCAATAATGGAAATAGATTGATTCATTAATTTATTCTGTAGAAACTTACTGAGACCCTATTATGTGCCAGGCACTGTTGATCTATATTTGCTTAAAACTCTGCATTTCCATGATTTTATTTCATACAACAGCAAAATGTATTCTGACAACACCTTGGAAGGGGCAGCCAAAATCCAGTAGAGAGAAGAAAGCAACTTTCCCCAGCATCACTAATAAAGCAACTGGTGGTGGAGTCAGGTAATTAACTTAGTCTTTCGAAATGTTTTTGATTTGCAATCTCTTAAATCATTTCAAAATCACCAGAAAGGCTAAATCATTTATTCGTTATTTTTAAGAAGCTTTGCAATAAAGTCTTTGCATTAAAGTGGACTCCAGCACAAGATGTTATCTAACTAAATTACACCACTGCTGAGAGGCAAAGTGGCTTATGTAATACTATCTCTGAAAGGCTCAAAATGTTATGTATAACTCAATTTCATCTCAAAATATCCTTGTAGGAAAGAGGGGAGACATTATCAATCAGATTTGTCCTGGGAACGAGGCAATGGTCTGAAGGCTATACACAATTCAGCTGTGCTCAGATTCGCAGGCCAGTCCTTCGCTCTCCAAGCCATTCAAGTCATTCGTTTTCACTGATCTTTCTCTAGACATTATTGGGAGCCTAAACCAGTGAAGTTACAAAGACGATTAAGATATGGCCTTGCTTTCATACACCCTACATCTATCAGGGCAATTGAGAGCTATAAAGAAGGAATTCCAAAATAAGGTAGTATATGTTGAGGTATAGTATTAATGATCACATAGGTCCTTGATAATGATTAAAAGGAAAACTGATAACTCCAGCAAAAACATAAAACATATCAAACAGAAACAACCTTTCAACTTGATGCCCTTCTCCCAATCTATTCCTTAAGCTGCTAGGACAGAATAGTTTAATCAATCAAATATCTGATGATAGAAGTTTGGGAGCCTCAGATAGGAACCAGTTCTGCTAA